CCCCCCCCGCCCGCCCTTCCCTCTCGCCGGGCCAAATAAAAGAGCCAAAAGAAGAGCCGCCGCCGCTTCCTTACCGCCCACCCGGTACATATTGGCCGCCATGGCGCTCGGCGTCCCCTTCCCGGCCGCCTCAGCAACTCCGGGCCCGGCCGCTCTTCATCGCCTCCCGCCGCCTCAAGCCGTCGTCGCTCCCCCTCACGCAGCCTGGGCCGGCCCTTCGGCAATCTCCGGAACCGCTCGGGCATTTCCGGTCGGGCTTCGTTGGGAAGCGCAACACCCACCGGAGCTTTTGAGCCAAGCGGCGGAAGCGTCTCGGGCTTTTCCGGAAAAGGAGGTTTCTCCCAGGTCCTGGGATGGAGGGCGGGGACAACTCCCGAGGGACGCCGGAAAGGGACGAAGACGCTCGTGTGGTGTTTCTCCCCGGAGGGCTTCGGGCCACTTCGTAGAAGGCCTTTTTTTTTTTTCCCCACCGAACTTCGGAATGGGCGGGTCTTCGGAGGAAGAGAGGGCTCCTTCGTGCCTTTCCGCCGATCTTCGGCAGAGAGGGTAGAATCGAGTGCTTTCGGGCAACATCGGCCTTTTTTTCCCGGAATGGGAGGTTAACTCTTTCCTACCCGCACGACTTCCCTTTCGTAAAAGGGAACAAGCCCGGCCAGAAATTCTTCTCTGTTTGTAGAGGTGTCACAACTGTCAAGTTGGAAAGTGTGCAGTCAACGCATGGATGAACACGTACACACATGCAATAAGTAGGAGGATATCCTGCCAATTCAAGAGCGGTGTTTCTAAACATTAGGGATTTTAAGAGGGGTGGACTTCAACTCCCAGAAATCCCTACGCTTCATGCCTTCAATTCTGGGAGTTGACGTCTACCAGTCTTAAAACATGCTGGCTGGGGGATTCTGGGAGTTGAAGTCCACCCACTTTAAATCATGCTAGCTGGGGGATTCTGGGAGTTGAAGTCTAACTGTCTTAAAACATGATGGCTGGGGAATGCTGGGAGTTGAAGTCCACCCATCTTAAAACATGCTAGCTGGGGGATTCTGGGAGTTGAAGTCCACCCATCTTAAAACATGATGGCTGGGGGATTCTGGGAGTTGAAGTCTACCCATATTAAAGCATGATGGCTGGGGGATTCTGGGAGTTGAAGTCTAACCGTCTTAAAGCATGA